CCACTTAGATTTAACAGAAAAATCATGAAAATGGGTCTGAAAACGCTAAAACATAAATTTAAACAACAAAGAAATGGTGGAGGCGGGGCGGCAGGAGGTAAATAACAAACTTTGAAACAACGTCCGTCCTCCAAGGATGTAGATGGGAGAAAAGGCAGAGTAACGCACCGCATGGTCAGAATTTCATTTGTTAGATTTTAATTGGTCAGATTTTGATTGGTCAATCTCTGCCTCTCCTACCACGGTAAGACATGGAACAAAATTAACATTACAAAGCACAGCTATACAGTATTTCAGACTTTCACATTCAAGGAGGATACTTATTGATTACAATAAAAATTTTTAAGTAAACTTAAATTTATTTATTTTAATGCAATAAGTATTTTGATACCCCGGTTACCCTTCTACTGGTTAATTTCTTTCCATAATCCTTTCAAAGCTAGAACACCTTATCTTATCCTCCTTCAATGAGTAAAAAGTCTGTAAAACAGTTTGTCGTGTGTTGCCACCTTTGTGAGGTTTACTAATTTGTTTGAAATTCTCAAAAGTATTATTAATAATGACATATAATTTTTAGCAGACACAAGATATCAAGATGAGAAATAAAACCAATTTTGTAAAGGGAGATAATCCAAATTTACAGTAATTACCACTTAGATTTAACAGAAAAATCATGAAAATGGGTCTGAAAACGCCACTGACTTGACCGAACTAGGGAAAGTTCAGACCCATAAAGGAAAAATAAATGGCAACACACAAACATAAATCATACCAAAAGTGAGTAAAATTTACAAACATGGGAGTAAACATATGTCCCGTAATGCAATAAAACAACAATTTGAATTCACAAGTGTCTTATGAGGGATAAACATATGCCCCCATCACAACCAAATGAGTTTACTATTCCTAGTGTATTATGTCTGTGGGTCCCAAGTATTAACGAATCACTATGTAGAATGTCCAATAAGGGATAAACATATGCCCTTATAGTCGCAAATCATCATCTTATTCGCTGTTTTTTACTAAGTTCACATGTATGTGGTATTCATTTAAGGACTGTCTCGAGCAATGTTTTAGATGAGGGATAGACATATGCCCCCATATTGGAAAATATTTCACACTGTAAGCTTCTGCACCATTTTAAATGTTTATATGCACGCGATCTTGTCACCTACCAGCCTAAGTATTAACAAATGACTTAGGCACTATTGTTCTGGATGAGGGATAAACATATGCCCCCATACGTTAATACTCTTGAAAATCACTTCAAAGTTGAGATCCTACACAAAAAACAAAACAAATCTGCTCCGAGGATCAACTTCCACTCAAGCATACATCAACATGGTGTCATCTTATGTAATATTTAAATGCATCCGATTTCCATCTACCCAGGAATCTAATCTGACTATCGCTCATCCCTCGTGATGCACAGTAAGAGGCCATTCCGATTCGAAAGGAATGTCCTTTGAATCTATTGACATCCAAATTACAAAACATGAGGCTTTGCTTTAATATGTTTGAAAATTCTTGTTTTGTGACTGCAGTGTTTTGGGGGTAGCAAAAAAGGGGCCCATCGGTCCTCCCTCTCATCTTAATGTAGTGTTCTAATGCCCCCACTGGACAATATTTTAAAGAGTTGCAAGAATGAATTGTAAGAGTAAAAACTTTACCATCAGAATGTTTATAATTTTGAAAGTGAATCAAAACTTTACTTTTTTGAAAAGTAATCTGTGAAATTTGTAAAACCTTATTAGCAGTGCCAACTGATGTTATCTCTCCTATTCTGAGGAAGCCGTGAAAAGCCAATAAAAACATTGTTTGAAATAATGCCCTTTTATATATGTTCGATATTGTATGTTCTAAAGCATCACAAATTTTATGCAGAACTACTATGGCTATTGGTAAACGAATATCCATTGAAGGTCTTGATTTACGACAGGAACTTAATAGTTTCTGAATGAGAAAGCATGATGTATTGTCAGGCAAATTATTAATTTTATGTATATATGCTATTGATGAAATAAATGACACGATAGAGGAGGCTGCATAACCTTCAGCAAATAAATAAGAGATAAACAAAGCCAAAGTTTCCTGAGACAACGGAAGATCATTACTCATATCAAATTTGTTTGCAAAATTTCTATAAATAGACCATGCCCGTTTATATGCTTGAGTGGAAGCTGGTGCCAATGTTGAAGTCAACAGGTTCCTCAAGACTGGTTCTAAGGAGGTAATGTTGGCAGATTGGGAATCACCGTTGGTTCTTTGTCCATCCAAGGAGCAAGTTGATGGAACTGCTGCACCTTCAAACGAGACAAGCAATCACATAGAATATTTTCCTTGGTACCCAGATGCCTAGCTTTAAACAAAATGTTAAACTGCAAACAAATTAGCACTAACTCTCTAACCAAATACATTATACTTTTATCTTTAGACGATTGCTTGTTAATTATATGCACAAGGGCATAATTGTCTGTGTAAAAGTAAATGCATTTGTTTTTAAAAATATGACTCCAAACTTTAAGAGCTAACACTATTCAAAAATATCTTTTCATTTCTGATAAGTCAAGGAAATAGCGAAGCAACATTTAGTGTAGTCTCAACTTTGTTCACACCCACCCTCATCACAGCCATACAGTGTAATTATAAATACTGAACTGAAGCTAGGTTAGTTACAGAACTGTAGCTCTCTGCTTGAGACAATTCAAACAGATACATGTAAGGCTATTTCTGTTCAAATTTTTTCATGCAAAGTGTACAGTTCCGCAGCTAAAGCTAAATTCCTTTTTTCTGTTCAAAGCGATCAGGTGAGTGATGTGGTCCAAAGACCCATAAAAAATTGAATTCAATAAAGACAATGAAAGATTTACAAACTTACTTGTTTTGCTTAGGAAACCCTCAAGGGATTCAACTTTATATTCTAAATGTATTAATTTTTCATTCATACACGTCGTGTCATATTTGGTAAGGTGTTGTCCACACGCTTTGTTGCTGTTTTTGGCAGACTCCATACAGATGTTGTAATATTCGATGTTCTTCTTGCAAGGACAACAGCACAATATCCTCGCTACCAAAGAAAGACAAATGCTTAGGGAAACCGTTATCTGAAACATTGTGGTTGATGAAATAAATTGTAAGACCAACACTTATTTAAATACTGATATTTATATACATGTATGGGTATAACTTTACGTGGGTTTAATATGAAAATGATATCCAATGCGTTATATGCCAAATCCCCATTAAATATGATTAAATAGTTAACAAGAGATTTTTAATACAGTCTAAGCCACATTCATGTCAAAGTTTAAAGATTAACTCTCATTGGTAACAGATTTTGTTGGTCATTTATTTCCCCAAACGCTTTGTTGCCAATTGAAATCTGAAAACAGTAAATCTGTTATATATCTGTTTTTGTTTCCTTATGATACACATTTGTTACAAATTATGATGGTTACCATTAATTATTTATTGTGTCTTTTATAAAACAGAAGACCGTTTGCTATAATCAAATTGTAAACACATTGTTTGTCCAAGTATTATTTCTTTTTATATAATAAATTACCTGGTAGAAAAATTGTAGAATAAAAAATATGTACTGAAGATTTCAACATGGCAGAACAAAAGATGTACATGTATAGGGTTAAGTCATACAGTGTTGCATCGCTGATTTTTTCTAGTTGTAAAGAAAATACTTGTATTTCAAGAAATCTCGTATTTTGAATATAAACGTTATTGACATGTTTGTTCTATTTTGTAACATTGAATTGGACTTACTATAAGTTACTAGTATGAAAATAGGATCGGATGTAGTGGCCATTGTCCTGCTTTAACTTTTCAACTTATTTTTTTCAACTTATTTTTATGTGTGTTAAAACAAAATTTAATACATATTTCTATATTATAATAATCAAATTTTCGCTCGCATTCGTGGATCTAGGATTATTTTCTAGGGAAGTAAACACCAATTTATTCAAACAAAAATTGGACTTGTACCTTTGTTTGAAATAAAAAAAAACAAACCCAAACCAAAACCTTATTTAACCAAACCTTATAAGTCAACTGGGGGAGGTATAAAATGTATATATATAGTGTGGGGAGGGATTCTCTTCAGTATAAGAGTGAGTCAATTTGTTTAGTTTATAGCTCTCCTTACTGAATTAGGGGTCCTTGTTTCCGGGGGCAGTTTCATGGTAATATTTCAATATACGAAAGTATTGAAAACTTTCCTCCTACCTAGTTCTCCAATTAATTAATATATATATATATATATATATACCACATCAAACATTCTTGTAACAGCTTTCACTCTGTCGTTGCAGAAAAAAAATGTTCCAGATTTTGTATGTTTAACGTAACCTAGGTAAAAGATATTTGATAGGGAAAAATTGAAAGGTAATTCTTTAAGTGGGAAGCAGTTTATAAAATTCTTACATGAGACATCGGATACAGGAAGATATGTGCAAGAGAGATTTGTCAGGAAAAGAAAGGTAAGTTCATTATACTAGCATTTTCCACGGCAGAGAAAGTTTAACTTCTGGATTAGGCACTTGTTACTGTAATAATTTTTAACCCATAGTTTGATGTCATAACAAAATCACTTAATTGTGATGTAGAAATAAATCTTTTTCAAAATTGAATTGCCTATATATTGCAGTGCATGTATTTTAATTATACATGTAGTAAGGATTTCATGTGCATATGCGACTTGTTGAAATATCTGTATAATCCATGATGTGCGTTCGTATTTAATTTTCTGACCATTAAATGTATGATAGATACGTATTGTAAATTCATTGATAAAGTTCATTTTCTTATTGCTCAGTAGGAGTGCAGGAAAAATAACTTTACTGCAATATCTTTATGACAAATCTAATATATATTTACATTTGCTTCATTTTGAAATCGTCAGTTTTTACCATGACCATTGACCAGGAAGTAGTATCATTGGTATTTTTAGGGATCGTTTTAATAAAAAAAAAGAATAATACTTGCTTGGTAATCATTACATTTTTATTCATTCATTTCAGTAGATCTTGCATCAGTTGATAAGAAATCCAGAGAAGTGTGAGTTGTAAGTTGCACCAGGATAGTTGTATTTTCCACCGATGTAGGGAAACCCACTTCCAGTGGTTCTCAGGTACAGGTTTACTTTGTCTCCCTTTGAAAGCTCCAATAAGGTGTTTTCTGATCGTTTGACCCACAGTCCTTTAGTTCCGATGAACAAGTACGAGGAAATTTTGCCATTCTTCATAATATGTATCCTTATGTAGTCCGAGCCTTCAGCGGAGGATGGAGTTGGAAGACCAATTGTTACCATAAAGAAGTATGATCCGGATACGGGGGCGGTAAAGATACCAGTCTTGCCGTTGTAGGCTCCTCCCTTATTGGTGAGAACGTTGCCAAAAATGAGAGTCCCTACGATGGGTTTCATGTTACTTGCAGGACCCGCCATAAATGAGACATGATGAGCTAAAATGACAATGATAGAATAAGTATTTAAAGTTTTTATTTGTTTTGAATTCTTCTCCTCTATAATTTGTTTTTTGTTCTGTTTTCCATTTCTAAATTATTCTTCATATTCTCCAAGCCGATTTCAACCAGACTAGTCAAAAACAATTTTTTGATGAAAAGGATTCCAATTTGCTCACAAATATCATCATTTCAACAACCACTTGGCAAGAAAAGATGAAACTTAAGGTGAAAGCTTTACTCGTATTACATAATGTAGCTACAAATTTATTCCATTCAAGATCTCCGCATCCGAAGTAGTGTCGGACAACAACAAGGAATCAAAATGAAGGAACATATAAGTACTAAAACCTTCCTTACTTTCTTACTTTTTAGAAAGGAATAAATAGTGGAAAAGTGAATGAGATTAAAAGTGAGCTCCTCTAAGTTTTATGGCCCCAGGTCAGGTCTGCTTTACTCTAGCCAAAGTTCTCAGGTTATCGGTGTGGTATATAGGCCTCTTGTTCTTAAAAAAAGTAATATAAGATAGAATTCGATTCAACAAAGATCAAGGAAAGAAGTACAAACTTACTTGTTCTGTTTAGGGAGCGCTCGATGGATTCAACTTTAGACTCAAAATGCGCTAATCTCTCTTTCGTACAAATATCATATTCGGTTAGGTGGAGTCCACATGCGTTGTTGCTGGTTAAGGCTGACTTCATACAGATGTTGTAATATTCTATGTTCTTCTTGCAAGGACAAGTGCAGCGTGCAATCGCTACCAAAGAAAGACAAGTGCTTAGGAAAACAGTTATCTGAAACATTTTGGTGCATCAAATCAATTCTAATAATGCTAGCACTTATTTATAAATTTATATATATACCGGGGTATGTGTATTTTATGTGGGTTGAACATGTAAATTATAAATTTTCATGTGAAAATATTGAAACCTGAAACCCAGTGCACCATATGTCACATCTATAGCCTTCTCTTTATCAAGATATAAATTTAAGCAATGTATTGGTATCTAATATTTCTCTATGTACAAGTTATTCGTCAAAAGGACAAACGAGGAAAAACTAAATATGCATGTTAAGTTTGAATTGACATGTTTGAATTTCATTTTGAAGACATCAAAATAAATTGAAAATTCTTTTGCTTTTCCCCCCAAAAATGTAATTATGGTGTACTATTGCAATTGTGCAAATAGAAGTTTCCATATTTATTTCCTTTTTCATGTCCCCTAAATGGTTTTTTTTCCACAAGGATTCTTGACATTATAAAAAAATTAGTCTGAAGTTTTCCTCAATTTTTCTGTTTGAAGAATCTTGAAAAATCATGTATGAGTGGTTTTGCGGTTGCTTCCATTTAGGAAGCACTGAAGTTCTTTTTTAACAAAACATTTTTTTTATATCAGTGTCCCGCATTTACACTGACAAATGTATCACATAAATATATTTTATTCCCTTTTTAATCTAATAAATACAGCTGTATATATATTATAAATATCTTGAAAAAGCTTAATTTTTTTCTCACTACATGTATTCCATATCATATGAATTAATTGATAGTCCACAATATTAACACGTATAAGAAAAGGGATTTCCTTGCACAATGAATGTTGCTCTACGGTACAAAAAAGCCCTCTGTAGTGTTTCACTGTTCGCTGTTTCTTGGTCCGTGTAACACTTAACAATTCAAATTTCTAAAATGATTTTGAGTTTTAGAATGTTAATACATTAGTTCAAATTTCTAAATTTCAAAACTCAAACTGATTTCGTATATTGAAATTTAATATTATAGTTTAAAAATGTAAAAGTTCAAAATTCCAAAAAGGTTTTAGAATTTTAATATTTAAGATTTTTACCTTAAATGTTCAAAAATCAAACTTCTGAAAACGATTTTTGGAATTTTAACGTTTGAGTTTTTAGTCTACCGTTTGTTCAGAAAGATTACACTTAACAATCTAAAGTTCGGTAATATTTTTCGTCTTTTGGGTATTTGAAAGTAGCTTCAAACTTTTAAACCCCAACTTTGGAACGTTTTAGATTTTTAGAAATTTAGAATTTTGATTCAAATGTTCTAATTTCAAATTACCTAAACACTTTGAGTTTTTAGAATTTTACTTTAAATATGCAAAATTTAAACCAGTTATGGAATTTGATATTTCGGATATTTGAAGTAAACTTCTAAAAACTCAAAATGTACAAAAGCGTTTGGTAATTTAAGTGCATTTGCTATTGTCCTGCTTTAACTTTTCAACTTATTTTTATGTGTGTTAAAACAAAATTAAGAACATATTTTTTTATATTTAATAATTTTCGTATTTACGCTCACATTCGTGGATTTAGTATTTTTTTTCTATGGAAGTTGACACCAATTTATTCAAACTTAAATCAGACCTTTGCCTTTTTTTTAAAAAAAAAAAACAACAACAATCAAACCCAGTCAAAAACTTTACCGAATCCATCGGGGGTGGTAGGTGGGTTGGGAATTTCTTCAGTCTAAAAGTGAGTCAATTTTCTTTAGTTTAGGGCTGTTAATATACGAGAGTCTTGAAAAATTTCGTCATACCCAGTCCTCCATTTAATTTAGAAATTAAGGTAGGACACAATAGATAGACCAAATTTTTCCTTAAATTCGATTTTTCTGAAACTTTGATATTTTGTTCTAGGATACCAAATATTTCTTTATATATGATATGAAAGAAATTAAAACCACATAATTTTTGCCCACATAGTCTGAAATATGGCCTATCAGACCCCCGTAAGAAGATTGTGAAATCAGATACTCGACGTGAGAATGAGCCTTATTTTAGAATTATCAATTGATCTATTGCAAATCTGGGTAATACTTTTTATAAAGATAACCTTTTTGTTACTTTAAATCAGTAAGTCATATTGGTACTGGAAAATTTAAGTAAAGTATTAAGTAAAAATAAAACATGCGTAGCGTTGGAAGTGAAAATTCACATGTACATTTCCGGCAGTTTTAGCTTTCTTAAGAGAAAATGTATAATTCAATTTTTGCAAAAAAGCAACAGAATGATTCAAATGGGTCCTAGAATAAAATGTGTAAAAATAGAGAAAATTGAACCAGTGATTTAAGATATTTTGGTGATTAAAAAAATTTCAATGGCAAAAAAATCGTCACAATACTTGACCTTTGACCTCTTGATATGACCTTGATCTTTGTTGCCTGACGTCACGGCGTCAGGCTGTATAAGGATTGATATTTCCAATATCCGAAAGTGTGCAATCATATCTAAAGAGCTAGATTTTGTGCAAGCTGACTTGCATTGGAATCCTTTACCTGCATCTTCAAAGAAACAGTTTTCAGAGAACAGAATGATATTACTGATGCAAAATACTGCAGTGTTTACTTCCTTTACTCTTTTGGCATGGAACAGATTATTCCATGTGATTAGCCGTTTCAACATGTCCGTATCCTGTTTTCTGCATTTCTATACTACTCGATCAGTTCAATTATATTCTACGAAAGGGGTGAATAGCTCTTTTCGCGCCAAATGTCACTAGTACGCTATCTTCGAATTCGCGCCTTTTTTTCAGATTGTTCCATTGTATGAATGGGTGTGCTAACTTCTAAAAACCTCATTCTAATGCCTCAGAAATTCTATCTACAAGTTTTATATCATTCTTTAAACAACATGTCGTATACATCAGTATATGGACATGAACACTGTTTCCCAATCCCGCGGTACGTTGGTTTATTCTATAAATGGACTAGTCCAATAATAATAAACAACGCAGATCAAGTCATATGTCTCTGTTCAGATAGAAACAGTAAATAAGAAAGCAGTGAAAAATCTTGGATTTTTCTTTCCACAAAGGTCTGAGTATTGAATTTACTTATTTCATTATCAATATATGATATTGTCACTACCACCCCCCTCCCCTTTTAAAGCAAAAGAAAAAAAAATGATCACACATTACTAAGTACTGTTTACTTCAGAGGAGAAAGTACACTCCAACAAAATGTGTATTTAATTATGTCCATATTTTAAAATGTTTACAATGCATGATTTGATAACAGATTTTATAATGTACATGTATGTAGGTGTTACAATGGAGCTTGAAATTTAGATCCAAGGGCAGATTAATCCACAAGCAGACAACCCCCCTCCCTCCCCGTCCCCCCGAATAACAACTCTTTAGTATGCAGTGTAGAGATGATAAGTTAAATAAAATCAAGATTTCAATTACACAAGGTTCTCAAATATGAAGTTAGGGTATGTTTTAAACTCATAAAGTATTACTGCTCAAAGGGTTTATCACTCTTCATGAAGATAAATTGATTGATTTAGTCAGGCAAGCTTTTTAAAAAAACTGTTACTTGTAGTACATAAAGATTGATTGATTGTATATTGTTTAACGTCCCTCTTGAGAATTTTTCACTCATATGGAGACGTCACCGTATGCCGGTGAAGGGCTTCAAATTTAGACCTATATTCGGCACTCAGGTCCATTGAGCAGTGAGGGTTCTTTATCGTGCCAACGCCTACCGTGACACGGGACCTACGTTTTTATGGTCATATCCGAAAGACCCGTGACTTTCACTTCTGATGCTGAGCGCTTGGCGAAGGAACAGTCACTACCTGTTTTTACGTCTTAGGTTTGACGCGGCGCCGGGAACGAGAATCGAACCCGGACCTCCCGATCACGAAGCGAACGCTCTACCACTAGGCTACCGTGAACGGTCGTAGAACATAAAGAATGGAGACTCCTTATATATGTTTCCAAATATCAACCCTCTATTATATATGGAACAAAAGTTACACTGCATTTTATAACAGACTGTTACATGCTTGTTTATTGCACTTAGATAGCGTAAACACATTCCAAAATGTAAGCTCCCAAGTGACCAATGTATAGGATTCTCTGATTTTTTTCACAAAATATGACGCAAACATGCCAAGACATACTATTTTTTTTTACAGGGATCATTCATTGTTCATGTTGTTGTCAATAAAGTAATTTTTTTTTTCTTTTACTTTATGAGAATTGGGTTGAAATAGAATCCATGGGTGTTTTGTCCTATCTTAAATATAGACCACATAGATCATTCTTATTACCGTTTATACCACTTTGTCCTTGTATAAAAAGAATGGCCTAGTTTTTAATAAAACATGGCTAAAATCTTCCGGAAGGTAGCTCTTTATTTTGGTATGTATATCAATGAAAGCAGTTTATAACAGGTTGGGGGGAAACGTAAATTCCGCTATAATAGTGGTATCTCACTATTATAGTGAAATTACGCTATATTTCCTGCCGTAGATACCCTCAATTTCATCCGATACCATGCAAGGTGTTTGAACCGCAAGTCATGGTGGGTATTAAAATGATCAAAAACTGTCATGTTTGCATGTTTTGAATTTTAATAAATTTTCTACCGTTGCATTTGATAATGCGAGCACTCTTTTTTTAACGGAAGTTGCATTTTTAACATAGCAACCGATGATTACAGGGTATTTAAGCCTGTTTGAATCTCATTTATTCCTCATTAAAGTGCACAAATTGATGCTTGTTACAAATGTCAACTCGGACTGGAAAGGGTTTATGGAATTAAACAAGAAAAAGGCTATTTCTGTTTGCATGGTTACGGGTATGGAGGCCCGTTATGGTAAACGTACAGACCCATTATTATCGGTCGCCGATGCTACGGGCGGTCTTCTTGTGGTTGTGTTAGATAGTGCACATGGGAAATGAAGTTATTTTTGTAATAGTTCAGTAAAATAATTCTTCACTGATAACATGTAGAAAATCATAAGTAAAATTTGTTTTAAACTAAATATTAATTGTTGTTATAATGTTTCAATTTCATTGTCATTTCTCATGAAGATATTTGATAATTTTGACTATGTAAAAAGAGATTACAAAAGGTACTACTAGTATATAGATTTAAAAGAAAATTATGATTATCCGGATAGTAATGACGTGGTACATAGTGCATGGTTAAAATAATGAAAAACTCTTTAATTAGTAAAAATTGTTTTGAATATGTTACAGCTGCGAATGATACAAAGATACTTTTGTTTCTACATTTTGCAAAGCGCCTTGCAGCATAGCCTATTCTGCAGAAACCAAGGGCATTATCACGTGATAAAGATCCAGTGTATCTGCACATTGTTCAGTCTTTTTAATTTTTGACTGTCTTCAAAGCAATATAAATATATAATTGAAAAAAAACTAAGTAAATTGAGATTTTAATGCATTTGCTCATCAGATGGACTCATCGATGTAATAAAGTCAATGATGAATAATAGTAAGAATTTATTGAAGATGAAAATATACGCTTCTAAAGATTCTAGTTCAGTTTTGAATATCTTGTGCTTCCATTGCATGGATATGCTTTCAAAATTGTGAAAGTACTTTTTTTAACAAATGCTAAATTGTTTGCGACCGCTTTGATGCTTTGCATTAATTTTTAATTGTTGAAAATTTGAATTAAGTCAGTGATATTTTAGACACTTTTTGCTGAATATTGAGCGGTGGCTATTGGTTATTTGATGTTTCCTTGTGGTTTAAACAACAACACTTTGGTATAAATCTAGAAGTCTGAAAAATTGATACTTTTAGTGCGATTTTTTGCGATATACTTTCATTCTATATGAATATAATTAGATTTATATATTTTTCGAATAACAAGAAAAAAAACCCTAAAGCTATTTCTCTCAGATTTTAAAGTTAAATCGTTCTTGCCTAAGTGCATAAACATAAAGCGCCAATAAATAAGTTACGTTTGTGCGGAGTTGAAATGATGGTCAATTAATAATTATTTGAACATGTGTTAAAATAAGGTTACAGGCGCTCTTGTAAAATATTCCCAACACCAAAGTAAATTGAGTCTTTTTTCTGAAATAAACAACCAGCCGAAATTAAAAATTAGATGTGTTTTCTACGATCTTTTTATATGTAAACTTTGGATTGTTTATTATAAAATGATTTTGTTAAGAGGATATAAGCGAGTTTATCAATATACTCTTTTTTTATGTTTGCCATATTGGGTGTTTACGTTTACTATAACGGGCCTCCATACCCGTAACCATGCAGACAGAAGTAGCCTTTTTCTTGTTTAATTCCATAAACCCTTTCCAGTCCGAGTTGACAATTGTAACAAGCATCAATTTGTGCACTTTTATGAGGAATAAATGAGATTCAAACAGGCTTAAATACCCTGTAATCATCGGTTGCTATGTTAAAAATGCAACTTCCGTTAAAAAAAGAGTGCTCGCATTATTAAACGCAACGGTAGAAAATTTATTAAATTCAAAACATGCAAACATGACAGTTTTTGATCATTTTAATACCCACCATGACTTGCGGTTCAAACACCTTGCATGGTATCGGATGAAATTGAGGGTATCTACGGCAGGAAATATAGCGTAATTTCACTATAATAGTGAGATACCACTATTATAGCGGAATTTACGTTTCCCCCCAACCTGTATAAGACTTCATTTTTACATTAACTTTATTTGACCCTAATAAAAAACATTATAAAATTACAAGTGATAAATACACATAACACTCAGGACCTAATCACCAAAGTCTGTCTGGCGAATGAATGCAGGGACTATGCCATTACTGTTTAAACAAAGCGAAAAAAAAAATAAAATGCCTGTTACATGATTCATTTTCATTTGTATTTCTTTGCTGCAAAAATATAGTTTACCATTTTAGGTTGAAAAAATAAATAAAGCCTTGATTATTTGTAGTAGATGTATATTTTATTAAATAATTTAATCAATGCTAATGAAATAAAATAAATAATAAATATGAATAAAACAAACTAAATAAACTATTAAATAAGTTATAAATGATAAATCTTCCGTTAAAGTTTTATTTTTTCATTCTTTACTAACTTAGTAATAGTGATATAGTTATTGTTAAGATGGATAGTGAATTGTTAAGATGGATTGGAAGGATATTTTCTCTAGGTCTAAAAACTACTTCTGAACGAGCAATCTTTTTTCTACTAGAACATTTTTATATTTAGGTTTAATAAATCAAGCAAAGGTGTGTATATAACGAATTATTGTTAACCTAAAGTCATCTTTGAAATAATGTTTACTTGTACGTTCCCGACTTATATTATTGGATCGGTAGGTCTAAGATTCCCCCCCCCCACCCCCCGAGAATTTCATCGTAATAGGTCCGGGATTGTTACAGATTATCTCCATCAGCAGAATATCACCACATTACCATGGATCACACTCCAGACCTTTTCTCATAGGTTTTAGAACATGCCTGGGACATGCTTGAACAGCGGCTACGCCAGAGTCAACAAACTCCTGCCAATTTCCAAAAACTTTGCTGTAGCATTGCAGGAATGGAATAATCTTCCATAAAACGACATGGGACGTCTCGTTAGGAGTATTCCACGCCGAATCAAAGCCGCCTTGTCTGGCCAAACGAGGGTGTTTTACCCACTACTGAATCTGTGAAACTATGGCGGTAAATTAGCTGTAACCATGTGTTAATCTGGACACTTATTCTTGAGAATAGGTCCTTTTCTGACTGCACAAAGGGTTTCGAAAATAATGACAAATGTTTTCTAAAATGTTTTTGTCTTTTGTTTCTCCTGACCTCATGATCTGCATTGCATTGTCCTTGTATATGCAATATTTCCTATTTATTTTAATAGTATATATGTTGTGATCATTTCCTCTCGACAAGAAAAAAAATGAGTTTCATAAGTCTAATTAATGAATGAATAAAAACAATCTGTAACGATCCCCCATCCTAAATTACAGTTTGTACCGATGTTTTATACCTTGACACGTACATGTACAATACGTCTGCATTGTTTTGAAACAATCAGTTTTCTTACTTTTAGTTGCTTCACAGAGAGCGTTGTTCCTGACCAGAAATAAGATATCGTTTGCCATGTACGAATTTATTAAAATATTTCGAATTACATGTATAACTGCTTCAGTTGATTAGAAATCCCGAGAAGTGCGAACGATAGCCTCCCGCAATGTAGGAAAACCCAGTACCAATGGTAATGATGGACAGTTTTACTTTGTCCCCTTTTGAAAGATCTATCAAGGTATTTTCTGATCTTTTGATCCATACACCTTCAGTGCCGATGAATAAGTACCCGATCATTTTTCCGTTCTTTATTATCTGCATCCTTATGTAGTCAGAGCCCTTAGAGCCGGATGGGGTTGGAAGTCCAAATGTGACCATGAAGAAGTATGACCCAGATACGGGGGCGGTAAAGATACCAGTCTTGCCGTTGTAGGCTCCTCCCTTATTTGTGAGAACGTTGCTAAAAATTAGAGTCCCTTTGACGACTTTCACATTGCCTGAAGGGTTCGCCATAAATGAGACATGATGAGCTGAAATGACAATGTTAGAATTATCATGTGAAGTTTTTCTTTTGATTTAATTTGTTTTTTGGCTTACCCGAGCCGAAGGCTTAATTGATTTTTTTAAAAAAAAGAATTAATTGATTTTTTCCAATATTCTAGAACCATTGAAAAATAAAAGTATATGTATAGCAGAATATCATAATAGCTAACATAATTTAAGATAACATTTTCATATATACCTTTTTAGCATTAAGGAAAGAATAAACCCAGCAATCTTACAAGAGAAAATTGTAAGGGTACACTTACGCATTAAACTTTACTATTCCACCTGCGAATTTATTCTCCAGACGCTAGGACAATTTTAGATAAAGGTATTTTATAACAATGTCTTGAAAAACCAATGACAATGATTTTCCATGACAAATCTTTATTTTAAAGCAATGTTAATTTAAGTGAGTTTTTCTGATCAAATTCTGTCTGTTGTTTGTCGTTGTCGTAAACATTTCATCTTCTACTGAATAACTGAGCCAATTTTAACCAAAGTTTATTCACCATATGTTAGATTTTGATCACTTACTTATACATTGAAAAATATTTATTTTCACAAAGACCTGGCAACGAAAGATATCCTAACTTACTTTTTCTATTTAGAGAGCGCTCAATGGATTCAACTTTAGATTCCAAATGCGTATATCTTTCCTTCGTACACGTGTCATATTCCGTTAGGTGTAGTCCACATGCGTTGTTGCTGTTTTGGGCTGACTTCATACAGATGTTGTAGTATTCTAAGTTCTTCTTGCAAGGACAACTGCATAATGCAATCGCTACCAAAGACAGACAAATGTTTAGGGAAATCGTTATCTGAAACATTGCGGGGATAAGATGAATTATTCTATTTCCATTTTTAATATTTATATATCTGTAACTTTACGTGGGTTGCAAATGGAAATTATAAATGTTCATGTGTAAATATTGAAACCTGATACCCAGTGCGCCATATGCTACATCTCAATAACAAAAGTAATGAAATAGCCATCAAGTAGGCCTATCAAAGAGTTTAAAAAAGTTTTATACAAACACAGTCTGAGAAACAATGCAATAAAATTTCCTGATAAGAATTAAAAAAAATAATTAAAAACCAAATAATTTCAAAAGTTAATTTCCTATTGGATTAAAGGCGTTTTTGTGGCAAATTGCAGTATTGGCATGGTCAGTGTTCACAAGAACATGTATTGCCGTATGAAAAATTTGAAAACAACAAAATCATTTACATATCAATCTGTTTTTGTTTGTTTGTATGATACGCTTTTATTACAAAAAATATGGGTTATCATAAATTCTGTAGAGTTTTAGATAAACAGAGGTCCGGTTGTAAAATCAAGTAGTAAACGCACAAGTTTTATGTTCAGGTGTATTTTATGTAATAAATGCTTGGCAGTACAACTTAGAGACAGTCAAAAAAATTACAAATAATGGATGTAGTTTATATGATAAATGAGTGGCAAAAATACCTGAATAATTCAATAATAAATTAAACAACGACTATACATTTCTACAGGGCTAAACAAAAGGTGAAATCCTTGACAGTGCTTTGTCCCTGATTTTTTTCAATTTGTTAAAAAAATAATTTAAGAGATGTCGAATTGTGAACATAAGGTTTATTGACAAATTTGTTCCATTAAATTTGTGACCGTTGGACTTAGTATAAAATTGGAAAAATAGGATTGAATAGTGGCTATTTAAATTTAGAACATATTTTTATGTTAAAATTTTCGTATTTAAGTTTTCATTCGTGGATATGGGATTTTCTAGAAAACAATTTTTTTCTATCAAATTTAGGACGTACATTTTTTGACAAAAAAGAGCCAAACAAACAAACCCTAACCAAATCCTTATTTGACCAAACATTATTATGTCAACTGGGGGAGGTACAAAATGTCGAGAGGGATGGGATTCTTTGCAGTCTAATAGTGAGTGAATTTTAAAAAAAAAGTTTATGGCTTTCATTCCGTACTGAATTAGGGATCCATGTTTCCGGGGGCAGGTTCATGGTAATATTTTAATTTACGAGAGTTTTGAAAAATTGCATCCTACACAGTCCTCCATTTGATTAAGAAATTAAATATAGGGGCCTATACCAAAAAACGTAAACACGTGGAAAAAAATCTGCGTGGACGTTCACCGTCACTTTGCAACGTCACACCTTTATGACGTTCTTTCTTTGTTTTACTAAAAATGCCATAAGCACCCCTTTCTCATGGGCGCAATCATATGGATACATTTTTTCCTATTGTTTAGGTTCTGTGCAGGGAAAATGCTTTATATTTAAAAATAAACTAAACTAGAATTCGCAATCCAATAAAAAATGATTGTTTTGGAGTTTAATAATTCAAGCAAAGGTGTTAAATAACTTATCCTTGCTAAAACGTTGAGTTTTCACAAAGCGGAGAAATTCGTTTTTCTGCTCTTGATAATGTGTAAAATTCAAATGTCATTTTCTCAAGACTGAAATGTTTCTACAACAAATCAAATAGTTACATCTGCTTCATTTTGAGATCTTCAGTTTACACCATTAACATTGCCCAGAAAGTACAAGTAGTATCATTGATGTTTGAAGGATGTTTTAATAAAAATGATTAATATTTACTCGTTTATCATTACATTTTTATTCATTCATTTCAATAGAACGTTCATCAATTGATAAGAGATCCAGAAAAGTGCGAGTGATAAGTTGCACCGGGATAGCCATCCTTTTCAGCAATGTATGGAAACCCATTTCCAGTGGTTTTGATGAGCAAAGAAGAAGGTATGGATTTAGCTTTATTGCGCCCTAAAAATGTAAGGACGTCAAAAAGTTTTGAAACTTGCTTAAATATTAGTTAAATAAATGACTCTGATAAATCAGGAAAGAATATGGCATGAAGGTTTACCATTCTGCAAATATGACGTCATTAATTTGAAGCATATCTCTATTTTCAACAGAAAAAGCCCCAAAATGGCACATTTCAAGGATGATTTTCCTTTAGAAAACAGTGTCCACAGCCGTTGCCCACGTTAATTTTTTTATATTATGTGCAAAATTCAATAACAAATCACATATCTCAAAATCTTTGTGGGCGATGCCTGTGGACAATGTTATCTGAAAGAAAATTCCATTGAAAATTGGTGTCTTCTGCAACTTTTTAAGAAAATACGGGAAAATGCACATGTTTATGACGTCATAATTAGCATTTAAAAACACATGTGAGAAAAATTACTTGTATGATTTTTCTGCATTAAATTTCAATTATTTAAAAAGCATGAGTTTTCAACTTTTACACCAGTTTCATTTTTTAGAAAATCACAGGGCATAATTTGTATGGAAACCATACCTTCTTCTTAACTTTGTCCCCTTACGAAAACATCAGTAATGTGTTTTCTGATCTGTTGATCTATAAGCCTTCATTCCGATAAACAAGTAGGAGGAAATTTTCCCGTTCTTCATGATATGTATCCTTATGTAGCCCGAGCCTTTAGAGGTGGAAGGAGCTGGAAGTCCAATAGTGATCATAAAGAAGTACGATCCGGTTACGGGGGCGGTAAAGATACCAGTCTTGCCGTTATATGCTCCTCCCTCATTGGTGAGAACGTTGGCCAATATGAGTCCCTACGACGGGTCCTATATGAGTTCGAGGGTTCGGTGTGAATAAGACATGTTGAGCTAAAAAGACAATTGTAGAACAATTATTAATTATCTAAATATTTCCTTCATTTTCTTTTAGGTACACTGAGACATGATTCAAGTGAGCTTTTCTAATCAGGAAACGCTAGGCATTCGTCCTCTTCTATAGTCTGTCATCTGTAAACTTTTTAATATTTGTCATTTTCTTCATAACTACTTGGCTAATTTCATCCAAACTTGAAAAAAGAAGTTTAGATAAAGGGAATTTAATTAATTATAATTTTAACGGTGCTTTGACACAGATTTCAAATTAATATTTCTCAAGTTTTCGTTATAATATCACGAATTATGTATTTGTCATGAAGTTCTTTTGGATTCTGTGCAGACAGTAGAGAAAACGATAAGCCGTAGAATAAACAAAACAAATTAATTTTTTAAAATTAAAAAAAAAAAAAAAGAAAATATCAAAACAACACACTCTCGCGCACCCTCTCTCACAAAGAAACAAAATATAACTTTAAATTGAAAACCAGATAATATTGACAATGAAATAAAAGATTTAACTTGAAACACAAATAATTGCCAATAAAACAAATGCTGATTTTAATAAATGCTGGTTTTAACAAACTCAGTTGTTATTATAAGCGAAAACAAACAAGAAAGTTCAGTACTGTAGATTTTTCCTTTCTTTTAAACTGAATTGGAAGTTTAGTTATTTAACTACTACTTCAAAGATTACACCATTGGGCCTCCATACTACAAATACTGCGTCTCTCTAATTTATAAGCGAAAACAAACAAGAAAGTTCAGCACTGTAGATTTTTCCTTTCTTTTAAACTGAATTGGAAGTTTAGTTATTTAACTACTACTTCAAAGATTACACCATTGGGCCTCCATACTACAAATACTGCGTCTCTTTAATTCAGCCCAGGACTCACAGGTCTCCCACTGGACAACACTAGAATTCACTCTAGATCTAGAACTCTAGATCTATACTGCCATAAATTGACACCAATTCCACTACACACGCTGTCCGTGTATATCACGACCTCCGTTGTCAACTTGTTTTGGCCCCCATCTCAACCTACGACTCAAACGTACTAGTGAGGTCCTAAAACCCACTTCAGCCCCGGGTTAATACTCATAACCCCTCCACACTGACACAATAATTACTTAATCTAAAACCCATATACAACTCAAACTACAAACTGTATTAACATACAGACTTTACTACAAAACCCACAAAATATTTACAAAAGAAAATAACTGACCTGCTGGAGGAAGAAATGCCCATGTAGTAAACTACCGACTTCCTGGTTACCCGTTTACCAGACTAACTTCTGGAATTCGCCATGAAACGTCGACTATACGACAAAACCAAAATGTGGCCGCACACTTGACAAACAGCCACGACTCTCCCTGACCAAAATTAAACTGAATATACTAAAAATAGCTTTATTTCGAACATTCTAAACCATGGAGTCAAACAAGGGATATAATTACAACTATTTAAACAAAAAATTACAAAACTGGAATAAAAAAATAATATAAACTTAATTCAATTTCATCACACACGCCCGCATTTTGTCACAAAATGTCCATCATTTTGAAATAAATCACTATGAAGTTGAAACCAAAACTAAGATTGCCTAGATAGAAAATCTGCCATCTTGTTTTCCTTTCCTGAAGAACTAAGCTCCATTGAGAAGTCGTGGATTTTCTGATCTCATCGTCTATAACCATTGATGTGCACGGTGTTCGGACTCTATAATAAAGTCCTTACCGTACAAATACTTTCTAAGGCGTTTAATGGCCCACACAATTGAAAACATTCCTTTTCCACTGTAGCAAAACTCCGTTCTCTTGGTAACAACTTTTTTGCTTAAATATACAAGGGGATGACGTTCTGAATTCTTCTTCTGTAATAGAACACCTCCTAGACCTCTATCACTTGCACCAGTTTGCAATATAATCTATAATTAAAAGCAGGGTTCCATAATACTGGAGCACTTACCAAAACGTTCTTGAGCTTATTAGAAGCTTTGTCATGCTCATCGGTCCAGTTTACCTTATTTGACTGATGCTTTCTTGAAAAATCGGATAATATAGCTGACTTTGTAGAGAAATGAGGTATGAACACCCTGTAGAAGTTCATGGATCCTAGAAAAGATCTTACCTCTTTCTTTTTGCTCGGAACTAGAACATTTAAGATAGCTTGAATCTTCTCTTGCGTTGGATTGGCTATAACACCCCCACTAATGTTATTGTGATTTAAATTCAAGACACGTGGTTAAGGTTTACCTATTCAAAGGTTATAGGGTAGAACCGGTTTTATAAATAAAATTGGCAGTAAATAGGAAATTGCTATAGTCTGTTTCTTTTGAAAACATGTCCTGTGAAAAATTTGTTTCCAGACCTTTCTGAAAGACTTTCATGATTTGCAACAGAAATGGGTGGCTAAAGGGGGGTGGGTAACTAACAATTTAAATACATCTTATCATAGTTTACTGCAAAAATTACTGCTCACTAGCGACCGATACGCTGGTAAAAAAACAAGTGTAATATCATCTACACTGACAAACCTTTGTTTGCCTTATATGGCTATTGTTACATGTATTAATGTGCACAGAGGATCTTACCACGAGCAACTGACCAATTGTTGATTGAATACATTTACGCTAAATACATGTTTACATGTTACTTCGAACACGTGGTTCAGGTCAATCTTTGATCATCATGAAATTTACATTTGAAAATTTCGTCTAGTCTTTGATTGCGTAAAATTTATAACTAAATTCAATGTTCTATAATAGTTTTGAGAGGCAGAAAAGATATTTTCATACGTCACCATTCCGCCAAAAATATAGTCCCTGCTAGTTTTCAAACGCAGTTTACCATTTCTATATAAAGTTGTATAATTGTGATGAGGAAAGAAAAATATGGTCTTTTAAATCTCTTACATATAAACATATAAGACATATCAACAAATGTACTTTGAATATTCCATCTAGTCAGAAACCAGAGAAGAATCCTACCTTAAGGAATTCAAGTCTACCTTTATGTGTTCGAGAAGACTTTCCCAACTCTCACTGAAAATTATAATATCATCCATAAAAGAATTTGGAAATTGATGATACCGTTAATTGGTAATGGCCAAATGGAGTCAAAAACGCACTTTTCTCTTTTGCATCATCATCCAGACTAATTGCCAATACCCTTTTGTTAGGTCTAGCTTACTTAAGTACTTTACCTTTCCAAGTCTATCAATTATATCCTCTATCTGTGCATTTAGTTCAGGGTCAAATTGTGTTGCCTGATTTAACTTTCGGTAGTCAACACAAAATCTAATGGTTTTGTCACTCTAAACGGACTTACCGAAGTTTCCATAATGCCTGTCTCTAACATTGACGATACCTCTTTCCGTACTTCGTCTCGTATAGCATGTGGAATTTGGTAGGGTTTCTGTCGCACTGGACTTTCACTCGTAGTCACCACCTGATGTTTCAACACCGTAGTTCTCCCTGGAACATTGGTAAGCACTTTACCATATCCTTGCAGACAGTCCGTCAGTTCTGTTTTCTGTTGACCAGACAACGACTCATCAATCTTCATGTTTCTGAAAGTGTCCCGAGGATCTATAAGTGGATTTCCAATCCAGTCGTTATCATCCTCCACATTCTCTACTATACATACCCTTGCCATCGCCTGAGGTTTCATTTCCTCCTTTCTGTCTAACCAGCGTTTAAGCATATTCACACGGTATACCTTAGTAACTCCATTGTCATACTTCACTCTGTAATCTACAGGACTCTCTTTCTCTATTACCTGAACAGGTGCCTGAGCTAACTGAGTAAAAGTTTCTTGGTACTTGTTGGTAACAATACTAAGACTTTATCTCCAACTTCAAATGATCTGTTTCTAGCATTACGGTCATAATACCTTTTCTGGTCTGTTTTGCTAGCTTGCTCCTTTTCCAATACTAGATCTGCCATCTTGGCCAACTTCTCCCTCGTCTCCCTGATGTAGCTGAGAACAGACGGCTGTAACTCTTGACTTTCATCTTCACCATCGATGCTGTCTCTCAGGATCGCCAGTGGACCTCTTAAATGCCTCCCATACAACATCTCAAAAGGTGAAAATCCTGTCGATTCCTGTGGTACCTCTGTGGTAAACAAATAGGAGGTATGGTAATAATTTGTCCCACTTACCTGATTCATCCTGAGCGTAGATCTGTGGCATCCGTTTCAACGTCCAATTAAACCTCTCAACTAGGCCATTGGCTTGAGGATGATAGGGAGAGGTCTTCAACTTACGTATGCTCAGTAGCCTACATAACTCAGTGACATCAGTGACGACATGAAGTTAGTACCTTGATCAGACAAGATCTCTTTTGGCACTCCAACACGTGAGAACACCTCTACCATCGCATCTGCCACAAATTCTGCTTCCTGACCCCGTAGATGTATTGCTTCAGGGTATCGTGTAGCATAGTCGCAGATTACCAGTACGTATTGATTACCTCTTTTGGTCTTTGGTAACGGCCCAACCATGTCCAAAGCTTCCCTTTCAAATAGATCATCAATCCTGGGGTCTGAACCAGATGAACTTTGCTTACCTTGCTTTTTGAAGTCCCCTTTTGACACTTAGGATAAGATCAACAGTATCCCTTGGTGTCGTCAAAGATTCCTGGCCAGGAGAAACGCTTTAGTATCCTCTCTCTGGTTTTCTTTATACCAAGGTGACCTGCCATTGGAATATCATGTCCAAGAGATAAAATCTGTCTTCTGAATTTAGTTGGCACCACCAACTGCTTCACCATCTCTTCAGTAGGTGATCTAAAATTCCTATAAAGCATACCTTTATCAAGTGTAAGGAAACTCTTCTCTCCCTCTCGAATCCTATCTACGACTTCCTGTAGGAGTCTAAGGTAGGATCCTTCTGCTGCTCCTGAATCCAATCTTCCTTTGAGAAATCTTGATCAAAGTAATACTTAGTGTCCAAAACCTCCGGTTCTTCACATCTTTTCTTGGATGCCGCCCTAGTTACTACTGCATCACATTTTGCCTTACCTGGATCTAACAAAGCTGTCTCCTTGTCAACAGGGATGTCCACACGAGTATAGTTTCCTACAATAAGATCTGCAAAAGGCGTATTCATTACCAAAGCCACTACCTTACCCGTGGCATAAGGCGTCTCGACTTCAACCCACACTTCCGGACATTTCTCTAAATATCCACTTGCAAGAGTAACCTCACTCTCGCCCCCTTTTAAATCATCTCTCCCAATCAACTTCTCTGCCACTAGGATTGAAGTGCATCCTGTGTCCCTTAACACAGAAGCTTCCTTACCATTCACCCTTCCGGTCTCAATTTTCAAGCCCACTATACTTGTCTGTTGCAACCACTATTGAAATAACGACCACTATTGAAATAATTATATCAATAGTGGTTAAGAGTGCATTTCAATAGCAAACATAGTTAGTAACCACTATTGAAATACGACCACTATTGAAATAATTATAATTTTAATAGTGGGTGAGAGTGCATTTCTATATAATAACCATAGGTTTCAACCACTATTGAAATACGAGCACTACGGAAATAATTATTTAATAGTGGGTGAGAGTGCATTTCAAGATGGTAACCATAGGTTTCAACCACTATTGAAATACTACCAGTATTGAAAGAAAAGTTTCACCGCGTCAGCAACTTTTGAAATAATTATTTCAATATATATTGGATTCATTGTTCAAGGCACTATTGAAATCAATAATTTTATCCATATTGAAATCTTTACTGTAAATGTGAACATTATTTCAATAGTGGTTGCAACCTATGTTTGTTATTGAAATGAATCTCACCCACTATTGAAAAAATTACATAGTATTTCAATAGTAGTCGTATTTCAATAGTGGTTATTACTATCTATGTTTCTTATTGAAATGCACTCTCAACCACTTATTTCAATAGTGGTTACTAACAATGTTTGCTATTGAAATGCACTCTCAACCACAATTGATATAATTATTTCAATAGTGGTCGTTATTTCAATAGTGGTTGCAACAATTGGATTTACGTAACGGACAAAGGTTTATAAAATGTCCAGTCCTCTGACACATAAAACACCTCTTTTCCATATTTTTTTTGCTGAGTTGGCTGAACTTTAAACTTACCTCTACCTTCCTTTGAGGTACTAGTGGGTTGCATTCTATTTGTTACCACTGAACCACGATGTGCATTCTGGTAGGCTTCCGAAAGCTCGATCATTTCATCTGCTGATTTGGGTTGCCTCTCTTTCAACCACACCTGCGAATCTTTAGACGAACTATTGACCAACTGCTCCCTCAAAATCACATCTACCAACACATCAAATCTATTCCTCAAAATCACATCTACCAACACATCAAATCTATTGTTAACTTTTTCTAACTGACACATACCAGTGCTGAAAATGGTTAAGAGCCCGAGTATAAAACTCTCGGAAGGTTTCATTTGGATATTGTTTACAAGATCTAAACTTACTCTTGTACGTGTAAGCTGTCAAATCATACCTTTTTAGTATTGCTTTCTTGGTGATATCATAATCACTGGACTCGTCTTCCCCCAATCGTGCATATGTATCCAGCGCCTTACCTGTTCACTGAGGAACTAGTCGCAAAGCCCATTCAAGTTTATGCCATTTATGCAGATTTGCAAGTCTTTCAAAAGATCTAAGAAAAACATCAATACCCTCACCTTCTACATACTTAGGAAGCAAATACTTAAGGACATTGGCAACGTTTTTGGTTTTCGTATAGAATTTTTTAAAGAACTTTTGAACAGGTTTAATGGTACCAAACATATTTAATTCAGGTCCTTTTAACCCATCAAGCCAGCCTATCTTAATATATTTTGTCGAATCAATGTTTGACAATTCTCAATGCATTTTCTATGTAAAATGTTGAAAAAATGAACCTATATTATTTTTAATCATACGCTTTCTCTAAAACCCATTTATTCCATACAGTTCAGAAATACAATACATCGTTGTATCCTCATTCCCGATGACATGCATATACTTTAGCTAAAAATGCAAACATAGAAACAAGGCACAGAAATTTTTAATTTTGAGTTACTACCCTTAACATCTAATTATTATTCATAATGATCAAGAGACTGGTTGCTTGTTTCCCCTCTATAATTTCTTTATTGGAAACAAACTGACATAAAACATTTTGGCACAGATTTATTATTCTAATTTTTTAATGGTCCCTCCTTCACATAACCTATGGTACCGTTCTCATCCGATCTACCCAGCCATCACCACTTTCAGAATAATTATGTAAAATCTTTGCCCTTCCCAGTATACATTTACCTATTCTAAATGACGACCTGTTGACTGTCTGCCCTCTCAAGGCAATGTAAACAAACCCATCGCTGCTTTCCTTTTATCACTGTAGAGTTGTTTATATCCGATAAAAAAATAACACACGTACTTTTTTTGTTTACCTCTCAGTCTATAGCATACGCTTTATTTGTTTTCACTGCCTAGATTTTAGCTCTTGTTCCTGTCAATCTAATTCTCTCATTTTTACCTGTAGCCTTTTTTCCTCCATATCTTTTTCTATAAGCTGCCTCTTTTCCTCCATATCTCTTTGCATAAGCTGCCTTTTCTCCTCCATGTCCTTCTCCAGTATTTATTTTTTTTTTCTTCTGCTTCTTTTTCCATAGCTAATCTCTACATTTCCATTTCCCGTCTCTTCTCTTCCCTCCTTTCCATTCGCTCATCTCGCTCAAATGCAGAGGCATGCTTCCACAATTCCAGACACACTGACAAATCTTCATCACATTTTAATTACGCTAACTTTTGGTTTTTCATCCGAATTCTCAGGATCTGCTATAAATAATCTTAATTCTCATGGCCGTGCAATAATTGGGCATGGCAATCATGAACCTAGTATTCAGTTTCTTGTGAAAGATTAATTGATTCTCTCTCTTTTTCTAGAAAACAGACCTTGGGTGTACATGTATGTTTTGTAGTTTCAGGGATACATGTACATTTCCAAACGAAATGGCATTTGGTAAATAAGACAGTTTTGACAAGTGAACAGACGTAGGCTTTTGAGCAGTATGTGTATCTTGTCGCATCATATTTCAGTTTGGCGGACAAAACTTAAAATGATGGACTTTGAATAATGCATCACAATCGTGAAACTAGTACAGAATCGAGGAAAAAATCTACACTACTATGGTCACGTCCTGCCAACAGTTAATAATTGGTTGCTTAAGTTTCAAAGTTCTTAGATACATGTATGACACATTGTGTATGCTCAAAAAGCCTTTGGCATGGAGTTGGTTTTAGTTCATCTATACTCTCTTTATGTGACCATTGATCAGTGATACGTTTCTTTTTTTATTCAGACAAACATATACCTCGTAAAAGTTTAACTTTTAAAGGCAAACATTTTTTTATTGGTTTGGTAAGTCTCAGATGAGGGAGGGACTTAATTTTACAGGTGAGTCTTGAGGACTGACAATCTACCTGCGGTCGTGTTCTCTTCTAATCCCTATACACAGGAAATACATGTGGTTGAACTTTACTGTTGCATTAATTTGTTATGCCTTCGGGACTATTTTCAAATAATAAAAAAAATATATTATATGGATTCTTTGCACTGTTTTTACGTTCATAAACACTTGTTTACTTCGTAAAAACTAAAAACTAAAACTGTAGAAAAGAAGTATTTCTCAGAAAAAAGAAAAACCCGAACCAATTTAACTTAGTTAACGATGATGTATTTTGTAGACAAGAAAAGCATTAGAATAACCACGAATTCTTCA